AACCCCAAAATCAGCAACCCCAAAACCCAGCAACCCCAAAATCAGCAACCCCAAAACCAGCACCCTGAACCCAGCAACCCCAAAACCCAGTAACCCCAAAATCAGCAACCCCAAAACCCAGCAACCCCAAAATCAGCAACCCCAAAACCAGCACCCTAAACCCAGTAACCCCAAAACCCAGTAACCCCAAACCAGCATCCTAAAAATCAGAAACCCCAAAACCAGCACCCTGAACCCAGCAACCCCAAAACCCAGTAACCCCAAAATCAGCAAACCCAAAACCCAGAAACCCCAAAACCCAGTAACCCCCAAATCAGCAACCCCAAAACCCAGCAACCCCAAAATCAGCAACCCCAAAACCAGCACCCTAAACCCAGCAACCCCAAAATCAGCAACCCCAAAGCTAAAAATCAGCAACCCCCAAACCAGCACTCTAAACCCAGCAACCCCAAAACCCAGTAACCCCAAAACCAGCAATCCCAAAACCAGCACCCCAACCCCCACCTCCAGAACCCCAAAACCAGCAATCCCGAAATCAGCACCCTCAAAACCAGCACCCTAAACCCAGCAACCCCAAAACCCAGCAACCCCAAAATCAGCAACCCCAAACCAGCAGCCTAAAAATCAGCACCCCCAAAACCAGCACCCTAAACCCAGCAACCCCAAAACCCGGTAACCCCAAAACCAGCAATCCCAAAATCAGCACCCTCAAACCCAGCCCCCCCAAACCCAGCCCCCCTGGACACGGATGTAGGGACACAGCTCGGGGTCCTGTGCCCGGATCTCACCCAGATCTGGGAAGGATGAGCCAAAGGGGTGGGAAAAGGGGGAAAAGGCCCCACTCACCCTCCAAGCTTCCAGGTTTTTATCCGAGGGAGCGCTGGCCAGGATGTTGCCGGCCGGGACCTTCCCTTGGGATACGCAGGGACAGGGGCAGGATTAGGGTCCTCAGCACCCAGGGCGGCCCCAGGGTGGTGGGGACCCCCCCGAGCTCCACAGGGATGGGATTCCCTCCCCCAGTCCCTGCGGGATCCCAGTGGGATTAAAGGGGGATGGGGATGGATCCTGCTGGGAACACCACGGGGACAATCGGGGACACCCGGGGAGGAGGGAAGGGCTGTGGCCCCACTGTCTGTGGGGCAGGGANAGGAGAAGGAGAAGGAGGCTCACCCTCTGCAGTGTCTGGATGGTGACTCCGGCCACCAGGGAGACCACGATGTGGTGGGTGCCCACGGCAGGCCGGATCTCCTCCAGGACCCCCGGCAGCACGTGGGGTTTGGTGGCCAGGAAGACCAGGGTGCTCCTCTGCACCACCTCCAGGTTGCAGTGCGTGGTCCTGCACCCCAACTCCTGCCCACGGGACAGGGAGAGGTGTCACAGCCCCAAAAGCAGCACCTCAAAACCCAGCAACCCCAAAAACCAGCAACCCCAAACCAGCAGCCTAAAAACCAGCAGCCCCAAAACCGGCACCCTAAAAACCAGCAGCCCCCAAACTATCAACCCCAAAACCAGCACCCTAAAAACCAGCATCCCCCAAACCAACAATCCCAAAATCAGCAACCCCAAACCAGCACCCTAAAAATCAGCAACCCCAAAGCCAGCACCTCAAAACCCATCAACCTCAAAACCCATCAACCCCTTAACCAGCACCCCAAACCCAGCAACCCCAAACCCAGCATTCCTAAAATCAGCATCCCTAAAACCCAGCACCCCAAACTCAGCAACCCCCAAACCAGCATTCCTAAAATCAGCATCCCTAAAAACCAGCACCCCAAACCAGCATCCTAAAAATCAGCAACCCCAAAAGCAGCACCGTAAACCCAGCAACCCTAAAACCCAGTAACCCCAAAAACAGCAACCCCAAAACCCAGCATCCTGAAAATCAGCATCCCCAAACCAGCATTCCTAAAATCAGCATCCCTAAAACCCAGCACCTCAAACCAGCATCCTAAAAATCAGCAACCCCAAAACCAGCACCGTAAACCCAGCAACCCCAAAACCCAGTAACCCCAAAATCAGCAAACCCAAAACCCAGAAACCTCAAAACCCAGCAACCCCAAACCAGCAGCCTAAAAATCAGCAACCCCAAAACCAGCACTCTAAACCCAGCAACCCCAAAACCCAGTAACCCCAAAATCAGCAA